CTACTGGGAGGCTGAGACAGAAGATCGCATTGAGCCAGAGTTTTAAGTTGCTGTGAGCTAGGCTGATGCCATGGCACTCTAACTCCAGCAACAGAGTGAGACTTCTGACTCAAAAATATAAAAAAATGAAAATAAAAAATAACCGAAATCATAAAACGGTTAAGCAACACTAATTCACATTTCAAAAGTTTCAATAAAAGCACAGTCACAGATAAAGCAATGTCTTATTTGTAGCAATTTTAAAGAACCTAGTAAGTTTTGACTGGAATTGTTTTTATTCGTAACTTTAGTTTTAAAACAACTTCAAACCATCTCTCTATAATGGATTTATTTGAAGTAATTATATAAAATGCAAATGTCATCAGCATTTAAAACCTGCCATATTTCTATTCTACAGGCTCACTCAGCAAAATTCTAGTCTATGTTTTATCTTTCTCTCTTTTTTTTTATCAGTTTACTGGAACTAATCTTTTTAGTTTTTATTCCAAGGTTCTTTGTACCTAGTTGCTAAAAAATTGCATATTCATATATTTAATTATTCAACAAACTTACTAATGATTGTTCATACATCACAACGTTTCCACACAATATTGAGCAGACCACATAGTTTCCCTCACGAAACTTTCAGGTTTACATGGGAATATGCAATAATCACATAATTATTTACAAGTTTAAAAACTGCAATTGTGCAAGGGGTATGAAGGAGAAATTAAGGAATGCATACGAGAATCTGTAATAAGGCTATTTGAATATTCGGGTTGTGGTGGTCAGAGAAAGGCTGTACATACGAGTACCTAAGATGAATGTGGGTTATTGAAGGACGAGAAGAGAGCTTTACAGATGGAGAATGGTTTGTGCAAAGGCCAGACATGGATGAAAGCAAATGTGAGGGACAGAAGGAGCCAGTTCTTCTGGAGAGAGTTATGGGAGATGAGGCGGGAGGCAGCAGACTTGCTAGGCTCTGTAGGCATTTTAAAGTGTTTTCATGTTTTTTTTTTTTTTGAGACAGAGTCTCACTCTGTTGTTCTGGCAGAGTGCCGTGGCATCAGGCTAGTCACAGCAACACTCAAGCTCCTGGGCTCAGGTGATCCTTCTGTCTCAGGCTCCTGAGTAGCTGGGGACTACAGGCATGTGCACCATGCCAGCTAATTTTTTGTCTTTTTTTTTTTTGCAGTACCTGTAACGTTTTATCTTTTCAATTTAGTAGAGGCGGTCTCACTCTTGCTCAGGCTGGTTTCAATTCCTGACCTCGAGCATCCGCCCACCTCGGCCTCCCAGAGTGCTAGGTTACAGGCGTGAGCCACCGCGCCTGGCCAGAATGTATGGTTTATGTGTAGATGCCTCCCTGAAATCATGCATAAATTTAGCTTTTGTAAAATAAATGTTTAAAAAGATTGGAATTGTTAAAAAAAAAACACCATGATGGGGATGGACATGCTTGAAAGTCTAACTAGAAGGGGTGGGGAGTATATATGAACCCTTAAATTTGTACCCACAAATGCTGGGGAAAAAAAAAGAACACATGTTTTTCTCTTTAATATTTTGTGTTTATTTGGGACAGGCCAAATGCTCATAAGTGGGAAAAAGATGAACCAGTACCTTTTCCAAAGTCCTGAGAAAACCATGTCATTGATTACAGAAGTTGTTAACTTCTCTCGGCTGATGAAAATACTTATTGATTTTATTGTATAGTCAATTAAATTATGTTCATATATAAATATATTTTTACACAACAATAGAAAATTGTATTAAGAAAGTTTTTTAAACCTGGAATCTATTACTGATAAATATTGCTCTCATTTTGTGAAATCCTTTTACACTCCTTTTATGCGTATTCACATACAGATTTATGGTATACGTTCTAGGACCAGAAGCTTTTTGTTCACAACTATACATGCCCACTGCTTACAAGCAGGTGCTCAATAAAATTACTATTAATGGAATAATTATTCTCTAGTAAGTTGTTTTTTTCACTCACAATAAGCTTTACTTACATAATGCACCTGATTTTTAATGGTCTGTATAATTCATTATGGGATGTACACAATGTTATAAATACATTCCATATTGATAGAACTCAAGGTTTTATCTCCAGTTTTAGGTTTAACAACAGTGCTGCAAAAACATCTTTGGCACAGATATTTATACACCTGTCTGATTAATCCTGTACTGAAAGCTGGTAAAAAGATTTTATCATATATTCATTATCATATTATATATATATTTTTTTTTTTATGAGACAGGTTTCAGCTCTGTTCCTGAGCTAGATGCAAACATGGGTGTCAGCTACTTCACCAGCAACCCCAAACTCCCTGCTCAAGCCTTCCTCCTCAGCCTCCTGGTAGCTGACTACAGCATGATTCACATGCCCGCTAATTTTTTCTATATATTTTTAGTTGCCATTAATTTTCTATTTTTTTAGTAGAGGACAGGGTCTAGCTCTTGCTCAGTGTGTTTCCACATCCTGACGCTGAGGTGATCCTTCTCTGCCTCGGCTCCAGAGTGCTAATTACAGGCCGTGAGCCACACACACGCACCCGCACTATTTGTTCTTTTGAGAGCAGTTTCACTCTTTTTCCGTAACTCATAGCATCATCATTGCTCACTGCACACCTCAATTCCCTGGGCTCAAGCAATCCTTTCTGCCTCAGCCTCCTTCTCTTTCACCACAAGGCCCAGCTTAATTTTTCTATTTTAGTAGAGCGGGGTGTATCATGATTCAGGCGGTCTCAAAACTTCCTGAGCTCAAGCATTCCTCCCTCAGCCTCCCAGAGTGCTAGGATATGGTGTGAGTGAGCCGCCTGGCCAAACATTTTATATATTGATACATAAGGCCAAGGCAGTTCTACCAGAAACTATCTTATTTACGCAGCTATGTACTCTTTTCTATACCTGATTGGGTTAAAAACTTATCACTGAGCGGGCGCGGTGGTTCACGCTCTGATAAATCCTAGCACTCCTGGGAGGCTGAGGCGGGCGATTGCTGCGAGGTCAGGATTCGAAAACAGCCTGGCAAGGCGAGACCTCGGTCTTACTATAATAGAAGAAATTAATTGGCAACTAATATATATAGAAATTTAGCCGGGCATGTGGCGCATGCCTGTATCCAGCTACTTCAGGAGGTGAGGTCAGAGGATTGCTTCAGCCAGGCAGTTGAGGTTGCTGTGAGCTAGGTGATCGCACGGCACTACACTCTACGCCTGGTCAAACAAGCAAGACTTGCCTTCTCAAAAAAACAAAACAAAAAAAAAACCCACAGAAATTTTCTCAGTTGTGAAAGCTGAGAAGGTACAAGATCAAGGCAAAGGGAGAATCAGTGTCTGTAGCGCTGTTCCTTAAGAATCACGCCTGGTTGCTGCACCATAGGTAATAAGGGGCAACAAGCTTCTTCCAGGGCCTCTTTTGTAAAGGCTAATCCCATTTGTGAGGGCTGCTGTTCCTCATGATCTAATACTTCCCAGGGTTCTTACTTCTTAATACTATCCATCTTGGGTGTAGGTTCACACTATGAATTTTGAGGTGTGGAGGCACAAATATTTTAGCCATAGCATTTGTTCTTTTATGTGATTTTCTAATAATGTTTTTGCACGATTTTTTCTCTAACTATATCTGTGATTTTTTGAGCATCACTTGTGCCCAGGCTAGAGTGAGTGGGCCGTGTGTAGCCTAGCTCTGCAGCAACCTCCAAACTCCTGGGCTCAGAGCAATCCTGCTTGCCTCAAGTCTCTGAGTAGCTGGGACTACAGGCATGCACCATCGAGCCCGGATAATTTTTCTGTATATATTGGTTGGCCAATTAATTTCTTTCTATTTATAGTAGAGACAGGGTCTCGCTCTTGCTCAGGCTGGTTTTGAACTCCTGACCTCGAGCAATGCGCCTGCCTCAGCCTTCCAGAGTGCTAGGATTACAGGCATGAGTCTGTGGGTTTTTTAATTGATAAAGCCCTGTGTATATCACTGATATTAAGTCTTTCTATATCCAGATTCTTTTTTGTAGTTCACTTAACAACCAACAACAACAACAACAAAAAAACCTTTGCTTATAAGATGTTCACTCACTTTCCCAGAAATTCCCCTTTGGAGAATTTATCCTAAAAATATACAATGCCAGGCACAGTGGCTCATACCTATAATCCTAGTACTTTGAGAGGCTGAGGCAGGAGGATTGCTTGAGGCTAGGAGTTCAAGATTAGCCTGGCAATATACAGAGACCTCATTTCTTAAAAAAAAGAAAAAGAAAAAAAGAAAAAGAAAAAACATATAGAAGACTTTACTTTCAAGGATATTCACTAAAGTATTATGTATAGTGGCAAAAAAAATCACCTGTAAACAAAAGTTCAACAATGGACGACTGGTTAAATCAAATTATGTTAAATACATAGTAATTAAAATGATACTGAGGCCAGGCGTGGTGGCTCACGCCTGTAATCCTAGCACTCTGGGAGGCTGAGGCGGGAGGATCACTCAAGGTCAACAGTTCAAAACCCGACTGAGCAAGAGCAAGACCCCATCTCTACTAAAAATAGAAAGGAATTAATTGGCCAACTAAGTATATATAGAAAAAATTAGCCGGGCATGGTGGCACATGCCTGTAGTCCCAGCTACTTGGGAGGCTGAGGCAGCAGGATCGCTTGAGCCCAGGAGATTGAAGTTGCTGTGAGCTGGGCTGACGCCATGGCACTCTACCCTGGGCAAAGAGTGAGACTCTATCTCAAAAGAAATAAATAGAAATTAAAAAAATAACAATACTGAAAATATTGAGTGATATTAAAACATACTAATAACTAAAAGCACAAATAATGCTAGGCTCCAACTTATAAACACCAAAAACCTATTTTAGCTAGGCACAGAAAAAGATTATATTTACACAAAAGTGGTTAATTCTGGGTACTGGGAATAAATGTTGATCTTCCTTCTTTTCTCCTATGAACATATTTGAAAAGGAACGTTTAAAATTTAGCATAGCTTATAATTATAATTACACAGATATAACATCGTTACAGTGTATCACGCATAGTTTATTATCTGCAACCTTACAAACTTTTGCTTCATTCAATAAAAGTCAAGCAAATTGGTTATCTTTTTTATACCTGAGTTTCCTCATCTGGTAAGGATAATAGTATCTACCTTGATTTAAATCACAGGGAGGTTGTACAAATTAAATTCACTGTAAGCTACACAGAAAATAGCACTTACAACATAATATTATTTACATTTAACCATGATTATTATTGCTTTGAATATAAATGCAATGGAAACATTAATGATACCTTTAAAAAGAATATTTTTTACTTGCCCAAGGAAAAAAAAGAAGAAAAGGTTGCTTGCCAAGACATTGCAAGGGAAGATATAGTAAATTATTCAACAAACATTTACTAATTGCCTACTATATGCCAAGCTGGGCCTGGGGTGGGAAGTGGGTGGAAAGTGTAAGACAGTCTCTATCTCATGTACTTCTGGTGGATGATCCATGTCAATCCCACAGACAGGATCATAGGCCATTGTCCCTAGAAACCCAAGAGGCAAAACACTGACGGAGGCAAAGTATGTCTACCAAGGCAGTAAACAGTTAGGTTTGACCATCAGTGATCAGCTAAGCCAGGTATGGGAGCTAAGCCCCCTCACAGAGTTATGGTGAGACACTACCAAATGTAACCTACATCAGTTTTACATCGGCTAAAGTGAAATTAGGGGACAAATAGGTTGGGGATGCCCCATTCTTGAGGGGTTCCCCTGGTAAGCATAAGGGGGAATTCCCTTGAATATGGTAGAACCCTAACAGTAAAGATAGGGGTTATCGGGGAGAACACATCCCTGCTTGCTAGTAGGAGACTGGAAGGGGTTGGGGAATCCCTAAAAACTCCATTTATAGAATAGGAGATCCCCTTCTATTACTCAAAGTTCCCTTGTTACCGACTATTCTGAGAGATTTGTGATTACTATCACCTTGAGCTTTGTTTCTGACTCTATCTCCCTTTGGGGTATAGAGGAAGACAACTGGATACACATATGTATATATAATGATAAATACATAAATAGTGCATAAATAGGCATGCACATACACACACACACAGACCACACCATTTACTGATACTGTTTGGCCATTAGTTCAGTGGTCCTAGAATTTAAGTCATTTATTTGTATTACTTGAATCTAGTGTCATTCATGCCTAATCAGTCCATATTCAAACAAAATTCCAGATAGAATACAATATGGATTTTACAAAACATAAGGTAGGATATATGTCTGAGAATTGTGTCAAAACGCAGTTCTGACACAATTAACACCACTATGGATCCAAATGTCTTCAGTCAATTCTGGCACCACTAGAAAGAAAAATAATAATATTAGTACGAATTTATATAATGCCTATTATGTAATAAGGACACCAGATGAGAAGAAGCAAAGATTTGAATTTAACAGTTGTGGAATGAAAACAGGCTTTGAAATAGAAATAAAAATTCTTAAGTCCATTTTCACTTCCCATCACCTTAATACTAAATAAGTAATTAACTCAGTAACTCTTCCTTTTTTTTTTTTTTAATGGGGAGAAGCCTGTAGTGGTTAGAATATAATAAAGGTACTTATTTTCAAAATGCCTAGAATTTTTAAAGGAATGCACTGAGGACAAAGCATGGTGTTATTACTATTATACTAACATATTCTTCCATTTGTGGTACATGTTATACACAGCCACAGTAGTCAGAATTCTCTCATTTCTCTAGGGTACAAATTAGGTCAAGATCACAGACTCTTCAATTTTCCAACAATTAACACAAAGCAGTACAAAAAGGAAAATATCTACAACTGTACCATCCTGAGGACCTATAGCAGAATTTCAAGCTGTTGATCACTGGTGGCCGGGTGACAATACAGATAGGTAACCATACACTTATTACTGGAAAAATAACTCAAAGCCCAAATCTTTTTGTGGCAGGGTAGTTTTATCATTCTTTACATAAAAATTCTATCTATAAAGTAGAACTAATATTTTTGTTTGAGATACAACACTGCTCATTTACACGGGTACTAAAATTATAGTGAATTAAATGAAAGTTGTTTTGAATAAATCTATGCAATCAATATATTTGAGTCTGGATGTGCATTCATGTATTTAGACCATTAAAAAATGCTAAGACAGGCCAGGCCTGGTAGCTCACTCCTGTAATCCTAGCACTCTGGGAGGCCGAGGAAAAAAGAGACACACCATGTTTTTTCTCTTTTAAATATTTGTGTGTTATATTTTGGGGGACAGGCCAAAATTGGCCATAAGTGGACAAAAGAATGAACAGTACTTTTCCCAAAAAGTCACTGAGGAAAAACCATGTCATTGATTACAGAATTGTTAACTTCTCCCTCGATATGAAATGAGCTGATGATTTTTGGATTGTATATTCATCATAGATATTATCAATATAAATTATTATTTTGAACACAAGACAAGTAGAAAATGTATTAAGAAGAGTTTTTTAAACCGAGAATCGTGTATTACTGAGGGGTAACTTGGCTCGGCCATTTGGGTGAGACAGTCCTTATACAACTCCCTCTTAATGCTTGTAGTTCAGCATACAGATTTATGTATAGGTTCTAGGACAGGCTGTTTTGTTCACACAACCGGTATACATGCGCCGAGTGCTAACAAAGCAGCGTGCTCAATAAATATTATATTAAATGAAGATAATTATTCCTCTATGTTAATATGTGTATTTTTCTCACTCAACAATAGCTTGGATCTTACAATAATGCGCACACTGGATCTTTTAATGGCGGTAATGATCGATTGAATGAATGCTAACACACATGGTATAATAATAAATCCAGAGTTGATAGAAAGCTCAAGGTTTGACCTCCACCAGTTTTTTAGCGTTTAACAACAGTGCTGCAAAACCATCTTTGCACAGATATCTAATACGACCTGTCCTGAAAATCGCTAGTACTTGGAAATTGCTGGGTAAAAAGATTTTACAACAGTTAGCTATATATATACATATAGTATATTATATAGATGTTTTTTTTTTAACAGTTCACTCTGTTGCCTGAGCTAGAGTGCCATGGTGTCAGCCTAGCTCACAGCCAACCCTCAAAGTCCTGGGCTCAACGCGTTCTCCTGCCTCAGCCTCCCTGGGTAGCTGGGACTACAGGCATGCATCACCGATGCCCGGCTTAAGTGTTTTTCTGGATTATTTTTGGCCAATTAATTTCTATTTTTTTGAGTGAGGAGAACAGTCTCGCTCATTGCTCAGGCTGGTTTCACACTCCCTGCCATCTTGAGCTGATCCTGCCGTGTGCCTCGGCTCCTCCAGCAGTGCTAGCGATTAACAGCGTGAGCCACCACACGGCGCACCCGCCCCTAGTTTTGTTCTTGTTAGCACAGTTGTGGCACTGGCTGTTTCCACGGCCTAGCACTGCATAGCATCATCCATTGCTCACATGCAACCTCAAATTCCTGGGCTCAAGCAATCCTTCCTGCCTGCAGCTCCTGGTCTCTCACCACAAGGCCCAGCTGAATTTTTCCTATTTTAGTAGAGACGTGGGTGTCACTCATGATGCAGGCTGGTCTGCAAAGCTCGCCGAGCTCAAGCAATCCTCCCTCATCAGCCTCCCCAAGAGTGCTAGGAGTGATAGGTGTGAGTGAGCCCGCCTGGCCAAACATCTTGGTTTATATTGATACATAGAGGCTCCAACAGCAGGTCTACCAGAAAACGGTATCTATATTCCAGCTATGCTTCATTTTTCCTATACCTCTGATGGTTAAAACTACATCACTGAGACCGGGCGGCCGGCTGCCATCCCTGTAAGTCCTAGCAACTCTGGAGGCTGAGGCGGGGCGGACTTGCTCGAGGTCAGGAGTTCGAAACCAGCCTGAGCAGACGAGCGAGACCGCGTCTGCTACATAAAAGAGTAAGAATATTGGCCAACTAATAGTATATAGAAATTAGCCGGGCCATGTGCGCGCATGCCTGTAGTCCAGCTACTCCAGGAGAGCTGAGGCTTGGAGGCATTGGCTTAAGCCCAGGAGTTTGAAGAGGTTGTGTGAGCTAGGGCTGACGCCACGGCACTCACCTTAGCCTGGTCAAACAAGACAAGACTTCTGTCTCAAAAAAAAGAAAAAAAAAAAACCCACAGAAATTCTCAGTGTGGAAGCTGAGAAGTCCAAGTCAAGGCAAAGGGAATCAGATGTCTCGAACATGTAAGGACCTGTTCCTTATAGACCAACGCCTGGTTGCTGCAGCATGAGTTAAAGGAGAAAACAAGCACTCTCCAGCGCCTCTTTGGTAAGGCTCCAAGTCCCAGTTTGTGAGGGCTCATGTCCTCATGATCTAATCACTTCCCAAGGGTACCTTACTTCTAATACTATCATGCCTTGGGCGTGGTAGGTTTCTAACATATGATTGAGGTTGTGGGAGCACAAATATTTGGACCATAGCCATTTGTATTTCTTTTATGTGATTTTCTAATAGCATGTTTTCTGCACGTTTTGTTTCTGCTACTGATATCTGGTGGATTTTTGAGATCAGCTTTTGTTGCCCAGGCTAGAGGTGCACGTGCCGTGGGGTGTCGAGCTACCTTGTAGCAACCTCAACTCCTGGTCACAGCAATCCTGCGCCTCAGCCTCCTGAGGTAGCTGGGAGCTGACAGGCAAGACGACACCACGAGCCCGGATAATTTTCTTCTGGTATATATTCGGTTGGCCACATTAATTTCTTTCTATTTATATAAGACAGGCGTCTCGCTCTTGCTCAGGCTGGTTTTGAAACTCCTGACTCGAGCAATGCGCCTGCCTCAGCCTCCCAGAGTGCTAGGATTACAGGGCATGAGTCTCGTGGTCGTTTAATTGATAAAAGCCTGTGTAATCGACTGATATTAGTCTGGGTTATATATATCCACAGATTTCGTTTTTTGTAGTGTCACTGGTAATAACAACAACAACCAACAACAAAAAACCCTTTGCTTATAAGAGTGCACTCAGCTCTTTCCCAGAAATTCCCCTGTTGGAGAATTTATCTGCCTAAAAAGTATACAATGCCAGGGCACAGTGGTCATACGTATAATCCTAGTTTTGAGAGGCGTCGAGGCAGGAGGAGTTGCTTGAGGCTAGGATTCAAATTAGCTTGGCGCAATACAGAACCTCATTCTTAAAAAGAAGAAAAACGAAAAAACATATAGAAGACTTTACTTTGCGAAGGATATCACTAAAGTTATGTATAGATGGCCAAAAAAATCACTGTAAACAAAAAGTTCAACAATGGACAGATAACTGGTTAAATCAAATTATGTAAAATACATAGTAATTAACAATGATACGAGGCCAGGCGTGGTGGCTCACGCCTGTAATCCTTAGCACTCTGGAGCTGAGGCGGAGGATCACTACAAGGTCACAAGCAGTTCAGAAACCCGACTGAGCAAGAGCAAGACCCATCTCTACTAAAATAGAAGATTAATTGGCACGAAGTTAGTATAGAAAAATTAGCCAGGCATGGTGGCGTCATGACCTGTAGTGCCCAGCTACTTGGGATGGCGGAGGCAGCATGGATCGCTTGAGGCCCAGAGATTTGAAGTTGCCCTATGAGGCTGGGCGTGACGGACCATGGCACTCTACCGGGGCAAAGAGTGAGACTCGCTCAAAAATATAAAAAAATGAAAATAAAAAATTAACCGAAATCATAAAAACGGTTAGCTAACACTAAATTCACAATTTCAAAAGTTTTCAATTAAAAGCACGAGTTCACAGATAAAGCAATGTCTTATTTGTATGCAATTTTAAAGACCTAGTAAGTTTTGACTGGAATTGTTTTTATTCGGTAACTTTAGTTTTAAAAACCTTCAAAACCATCTCTCTATAATGGCATATTTTATTGAAGTAAATTATATAAAATGCAAATGTCATCAGCATTTAAAACCTGCCATATTTCTATTCTACAGGCTCACTCAGCAAAATTCTAGTCTATGTTTTATCTTTCTCTCTTTTTTTTTTATCAGTCTTACTGGAACTAATCTGTTTTAGTTTTTTATTCCAAGGTTCTTTGTACCTAGAGTGCTAAAAAATTTGCATATTCATATATTTAATTATTCAACAAACCCTTACTAATGATTGTTCACTACATCACACTGTTTCCACACAATATTGAGCAAAACCAGCAATAGTTCCTCCCCTCACAGAACTTTCAGTTTAATGGGGGAATATGCAATAATCACATAATTATACAAGTTTAAAAACTGCAATTGTGACAAGGGCTATGAAGGAGAATTAAAGAATGCTACGAGAATCTGTAATAGGATATTTGAATATTCTGGGGGTGTGAGTGGTCAGAGAAAGCTGTACTAC